ATTAATATTTGACATTTATTATTAAGATTGAATATGAAAGTTAATATTTAACATTTAATGTTAATAATTAATAATGACACCAATATGTAAAATTAAATATCAACAATAAATATTAACATTAAATATTAATATTAACTTCACCATTCATTAATAATCAACATATAAAATGTTAATCTTAAAACCTTCATAACTCAATGAAATTTTCTGTAACAATCATCAAAAATTTTATTAACTATTATTTTAATTATTAACAATTTATATTAACAATTTAAAGTCAATTTCGTTAACTCTCACTGAAATAATGAAAAAACAATTTCATTTCTTAATCAATAATCATACAACTGTTAATGAATGTTCAATTAATAATGAACATAATGAATGCCAAAATATGTTTGCTGAATTATGTTCCTTATGCAACAATTATTCAAATATATTTGTTTTTATTTGCAGCTGACTTTCTCCACGTCTGCCAAAGAAAGGATCCAAACCTAGGCGAGTGCATCAAAAACAGCGTGGAAAGCTTTAAACCCTACTTGCACAAAGGATTACCAGAGTACAACATACCAACTTTGGAGCCATTGTTCCTGCAGGAAGTGGTAGCCACCTCTGGCGCGAATATCAAATTGAATTTGATGAACGTTCGTGTCCACGGTGCAAGCAACTTCAACGTCGTCAAACTAAAGTAAGTTATCAGATTGTATAAAAAATGTTGAAAAAATAATCTTATAATAATCTTGACAAAATTATCGTCGTGTTATCTAACTAGTGATTGTAATGTTATAATGACGTACCACTATTTTCTTGATTATTGTAATAAATTATAATAATTGTCATTTGTAGGGCAGTAATAATTCTTGTAATGATTGTAATTTGTTGTAATATTGAGTAGAATTTGGAAAACTAGGAACTCGGTAATTTTTAGAAATTTTTAGGTTTAGGGATTTGGGAATGAAGAGATTTGAAAATTAGGATAATTGGGAAATTAGGAATTTGGGGGTTTAGAGATTTGGGGATGTAGGGATTTGAGGATGTAGAGAATTTTGGAGCGTAGGAATTTTGGGAATTTAGACATTTGGGGATGTAGGGATTTGGGGATGTAGGATTTTGGGGATATAGGAATTTGGGGATGTAGGGATTTTGGAAGTTAGGAATTTGGGGTTTTAAGAATTTGATGATGTGGGGACTTGAGGATGCAGGGATTTGGGAATGTAGAGATTTGGCAATGTAGGAATTTGGGAAGCCAGGAATTTGGGATGATAGGAATTAGGGAAGCTGGGAATTTGGAAAACTTGGAATTTGGGAATCTTGGAATTTAGGAAATTTGGAATTTGGGAAACTTGGAATTTGGGAATCTTTGAATTTGGGTATCTTGGAACTTGGGAATCTTGGAACTTGGGAAACTTGGAATTTGGGAAATTTGGAATTTGGGAAACTTGGAATTTGGGAATCTTGGAATTTGGGAATCTTGGAATTTAGGAATCTTGGAATTTGAGAAATTTGGAATTTGGAAATCTTGGAATTTGGGAATCTTGGAACTTGGGAAACTTGGAACTTGAGAAACTTGGAATTTGAGAAATTTGGAACTTGGGAAACCTGGAACTTGAGAAACTTGGAATTTGGGAAATTTGGAACTTGGGAAACCTGGAACTTGAGAAACTTGGAATTTGAGAAATTTGGAACTTGGGAAACCTGGAACTTGAGAAACTTGGAATTTGAGAAATTTGGAACTTGGGAAACCTGGAACTTGAGAAACTTGGAATTTGAGAAATTTGGAACTTGGGAAACCTGGAACTTGAGAAACTTGGAATTTGAGAAATTTGGAACTTGGGAAACCTGGAACTTGAGAAACTTGGAATTTGAGAAATTTGGAACTTGGGAAACCTGGAACTTGAGAAACTTGGAATTTGGGAAATTTGGAACAATTTGTCAATCTTGGAATTTGGGAATCTTGGAATTTGAGAATCTTAGAATCTGAGAATCTTGGAATTTGTGAATCTTGGAATTTGACAAACTAATAACATAAAAATTTAGATATTTGATCATCTAGCAATTCACTCTATCTCCACATCTTCCTATCCATCCCAAAATCAGTTGAACTATCTCTAAAACACTTCATGCCCCAGCCACTCATTCAACACTTTAACGCAATTATTCTCTTTACGACTCAATTGCGTAGACTCCAACCTTACGTAATCCACTTTTTTCTAAACACAGATGACATTATCATTTAAAGACAAAAAGTCAAGACAGTTACGTCGAATTAAGCGGACAATGACATATTTTCCTCGACACGACGTTGAACTATTTGCCTTGAAACAATATACTTGGTCCCAAAAATCGAAACCTGGTTTTCAAGGATCGACACGAAAGCGAACTCGAGGACGATCGGATTAACCTCGAATTCGATCTTGCAATCTCCTGTACATGTTCAAATTTAACTTTGATTTAATATTCAGTTCAATTTATCTTTGATCGGTGACGTGGGTGACAAATCCAATTAATTTATTGAAATTTGGTTCATGGGAATTTAAGTGGTTAATGAGATCAAGGTTAGGTTATGCTTGAAAATTTACTGATTCGAATTATTGAAAAGTTAAGTTGGTTACTGGGAAATATTTTTAGTGGGGTGATTTGTAAAAGAGTTTTTTAGTATTATTTAGTATTATTAGTATTATTTAGTATTATTAGTATTATTAGTATTATTAGTATTATTAGTATTATTAGTATTATTAGTATTATTAGTATTATTAGTATTATTAGTATTATTTAGTATTATTTATTTATTTTTAGGGGTTAGTTTGAGTATTATTTACTTCAAGTTTTACTGCGAGTTTTAATTTTGAAGTTTTAAATGCTTTTGGATGAATGGAAGGGTTGGGGGATGAATTTTTAAATCTGTTAAATATAAAATGTAAAATATACTTAGTATTATTTAGTATTATTTATTTTAAGGGGTTAGTTTGAATATTATTTACTTCAAGGTTTACTCTGTGCTTTAATTTTGGAGTTTCAAATGCTTTTGAATGAATGGAAGGGTTGGAGAGATGAATTTTTAAATTTGTTAAATATAAAATATAAAATATACTTAGTATTATTTAGTAATATTTATTTTTAGGGGTTAGTTTGAGTATTATTTACTTCAAGTTTTACTGTGAGTTTTAATTTTGAAGTTTTAAATGCTTTTGGATGAATGGAAGGGTTGGGAGATGAATTTTTAAATTTGTTAAATATAAAATACAAAATATACTTAGTATTATTTAGTATTATTTATTTTAAGGGGTTAGTTTGAGTATTATTTACTTCAAGTTTTACTGTGTGCTTTAATTTTGGTGTTTCAAATGCTTTTGACTGAATGGAAGGGTTGGAGGATGAATTTTTAAATTTGTTAAATATAAAATACAAAATATACTTAGTATTATTTAGTATTATTTATTTTAAGGGGTTAGTTTGAGTATTATTTACTTCAAGTTTTACTGTGAGTTTGAATTTTGAAGTTTTAAATGCTTTTGGATGAATGGAAGGGTTGGGGATGAATTTTTAAATTTGTTAAATATAAAATATAAAATATACTTAGTATTATTTAGTAATATTTATTTTTAGGGGTTAGTTTGATTATTATTTACTTCAAGCTTTTCTGTGAGTTTTAATTTTGAAGTTTTAAATGCTTTTGGATGAATGGAAGGGTTGGGGATGAATTTTTAAATTTGTTAAATATAAAATATAAAATATACTTAGTATTATTTATTTTTAGGGGTTAGTTTGATTATTATTTACTTCAAGCTTTTCTGTGAGTTTTAATTTTGAAGTTTTAAATGCTTTTGGATGAATGGAAGGGTTGGGAGATGAATTTTTAAATTTGTTAAATATAAAATATATTTATAATATAGTTTCATATTTTAGAATTTTTTTATTATTCTAGTAAGGTCATAGATTGTCTTCATTCATTAAAATAAATTACCAAAGTAAATAAGTTACTTATAAATAATATTATAGTAATGTGATATGCAGATCATCTTCATTTATTAAAATAAACAACCAAAATAAATATATACAACTTGTAAATAATTTTCTAATATTGTCATAAATCATCTTCATTCATTAAAATAAACAACCAAGAAAAAAATATATATAATTTATAAATAATGTTCTTAGTAATGTCACATATCATCTTCATTCATCAAAACAAGTATCCAAAATAAATAAATAAATTATAAATAGTACTCTAATAATATCACATATCACCTAAAAACATTCAACAATAAACATTCAACAAAAGAATGTGCAGTTAGACACCGAGTTACGAGACAACTAAGAGTCATAAACAAATGAAAGTATTATGGTTTAAGTATTATAAAAAGATTCACTTGTTTGTATTCCACGTGTACGCCACCCGACCGTGACACAAACTCTTGAGATTCATTGAAAATGATTTGTATGGTGCACGTGATTCGCGAATTGGAAAAACAGCAAGGACTATGGAAACCATGAAACTAAAATGAAACAGAAATATCTGAGTGACTTACTGTTTCAATAATACTTCTTTTTTGTATTTGCAAGATTTTAACATATTTTTGCAGATAAATATTTTTGAATGGAGGAGGGAAATGATTGGGTTTGTTTGAAATAGAACATTTTATATGAAACATCTTGGAAGGAACGTTTTGAATAAAATATTTTCTATTGGACGTTTTGAATAAAACATTTTGTATAAAATACTGGGTGAACATTTTGAATAAAACATTTTGTGTAAAATATTAGTTGAATCGTTTGAATAAAACATTTTTAGTAAAACAATTCAAATAAAACATCTTTGATAAAACATATTAAACAAAAAAAATTACATGAAACATTTTATGTTAAATTGACTTATTTAAAATATTTTAAATTGAACATTTTACATGAAACTTTCTAAATAAGACATTGTTATTAGAACATTGCAAATTTAATAATACACTAAAGCAAATTTGTAGTTTATGTCAGATATATTTAAATATATTAATTGTATTTAATGTCATATGGGAGTACCATTACGTCCGCCATGTTGGTTTTGCACAGTAACCTCTCTAGTTTCATTAATACGTTCTTTTCTTTGTTAAAATCCTGTATAACAAGTTAAAAAAGTGTTTTCAATAATAGTATATACTATTCTACTTGTAATTTAACAATTTCTCAATGCAAATTTGTAGTTTATAGCAGAAATATTTAAATATATTAATATATTACTGAAATATGGGAGTACCACTACGTCCGCCATGTTGGTTTTGCACAGTAGCCTCTCTAGTGTTACTACTACTTTCTTTTCCTTATTAAAATCCTGTATAACAAGTTTATAAAGTGTTTTCAATAATAGTACATACTATTCTACTTGTAATTTAACAATTTCTCAATGCAAATTTGTAGTTTATGGCAGATATATTTAAATATGTTAATATATTACTGAAATGTGGGAGTACCATTACATCCGCCATGTTGGTTTCGTACGACAGCCTCTCTAGTTTTACTACTACTTTCTTTTCCTTATTAAAATCTTGTATAACAAGTTTATAATGTGTTTTCAATAATAGTACATACTATTCTACTTGTAATTTAACAATTTCTCAATGCAAATTTGTAGTTTATAGCAGAAATATTTAAATATATTAATATATTACTGAAATATGGGAGTACCACTACGTCCGCCATGTTGGTTTCGTACGACAGCCTCTCTAGTTTCATTAATACGTTCTTTTCCTAATAAAAATCTTGTATAATAATATGCAAAAGTGCTTCTTACAACTCTACCTAATATTCTTCTTCTAATTTAACAATCTTCTATAACAAAATTTACGATTTATAGCAAACATATTTAAATATATTTAATGTCATATGTGTCTTTGAAACCGCCATGTTTCGCACACTAGCGCCTCTACAAAATAACTACTTGCTCTCCCCAATAAATTTAGAAGCTACATGTACTCAAATCAAATCTGTTATATATTACACTTCACAATTTTAATTTACATTAACTTCTCCCAATATTTGAAAGCGGTTGGGTTGGACACTCTTCATTTTAATATTAATTTCTCTTAATATTCCTAATATTTCTAATATGTCTCAAAACCAATGTGAACACTCTACAATTTTATATTAATTTCTTCTAATATTTCACAGGGACAAGGACACCCTTCGGTTTTATACAAATTTCTCTTATTATTTCTAATGTTTCTAATATTCCACAAAACCAACGTGAACACCCTACAATTTTATATTAATTTCTTCTAATATTTCACAGGACCAACGTGCACACCCTTTGATTTTATATAAATTTCTCTTATTATTTCTAATATTTCTAATATTCCACAAAACCAACGTGAGCACCCTACAATTGTATATTGATTTTCCCCAATATTTCACAGGGCCCACTTGGACACCCTTCATTTTTATATTAATTTCTCTGAATATTTCTAATATTTCTAACAATTCTAATATTTCTAATATTTCTAACAATTCTAATATTTCTAATATTCCACAAAACCAACATGAACACCCAACAATTCTACATTAACTTCTCCCACTATTTCACAGGGCCAACGCAGACACCCTACGTTTCCTAATCGAACTGGACCTCCCAATGCTCACCATAGACAGCGACTACGAAATCGACGGAAAAATCCTCCTCCTCCGAATCCAAGGAACCGGTCCCCTCACCGGAAACTTCACGAACTGCAAAGGATTAGTTAAGATCCAAGGCGACCTTGTCAAAGGACCCGACGGTCAGACCTACATGAAAATAGTCGACTTGAAGACGAAAATTGCGGTAGGCGGCGGATCTCTGAAGCTCGACAACCTGTTCGGTGGTGACCCAGTCCTGGGAGAAGCTGTCAACTCCGCCATCAACAGCAATTTCGACACCTTCATCGACGAATTGAAACCTGCACTCGAAACTGGAATTTCTGACACGTTCATCAAAATTGCCAACAGCATTCTATTGCAGTTCACGTATGAGGTGCTCTTCCCGCTTTCCTAAAGAAGTTTATTGGATTTGAGGAAGTGATTCGAGTTTTGTAAAACTTGTTGATAGAACTGATTTTTGGTCTTTAATTTCCTGCTGTTGATGAGATTTGTTTGTTAGAGATTATTGAGATAGAAATGTTTGCAAGTGTAATTAATGTGGATGTAGTAATATTCTTGTTGGGCAGAAAAGGGGCAGGATTTGCCCTGGGCAAGTATCTGGATCCTTAGGAAGCTTTATTTGGTCAAAGATGAAAATTATATTCAATTAAGTTTTAGGTTGGGTTTGAATAAATTTTGATGGAAGACAAAGTTTAAGTTTTAGGTTATGTTTGAATAAATTTTGATGAAAGACAAGGTTTAAATTTGACAAAATATTGGTTACATTTGAAGATTTGATTTAATTTGTGACAGAGGTTAGATCTAATAATAAGTTACAGTGTGGGTTAAGGTTAGATCACACTTTTTGTATTATTTGATTAAACTTGCAATGTTAAAAACACTAAATTTTGAGGTTATACTATTATACTTCATTAGCATTGAAAATATGAACATCTGAAATTCACAACAGAAGAAGAATATTCTTTCTTCAATTTTGAACAGAAAAATCAGACAAAATTAAAATGAAAGAATAATTTATATATTTCAATTTTTTTAAATACTCTTCATCAACAATCTCCATGAAATCACTTACATGACAAGAAAATTACAATGGCAGGAAATTAAAGATCGTTTGCTAAAACTTGAACATGCTTTGACAATTTATACTTAAGAATTTATTGTAAATATAAATGGACAAAATTGAAAAAAATTACTGTAGTATAGTGATCATATAATTAAGAATAATTGCCAAAATCTCATTAACTCTAATAATTTTTATACAAGTATAAAATTGTAGTTACATGAAGGAGACATAATTTTTGAAACGTCCTGTATAAAGAAATTTGAAACTTTGTGCAGTTAAGAATAATTGCCAAATTTACATATTATTAATTCTAATAATTTTTGTACAAGTATACAAGACAAATTATAATTCCATGAAGGAGAAATAATTTTTGAAACGACCTGTATAAAGAAATTTTGAAATTTTGAGTAATTAATAATAATTGCCAAATTTACATCTCGTTGATTCTAATAATTTTTATAGAACTATACAGGACAAATTATAATTCCATGAAGGAGAAATAATTTTTGAAACGACCTGTATAAAGAAATTTGAAATTTTGTGTAATTAATAATAATTGCCAAATTCACATCTTGTTAATTTTAATAATTTTTATAGAACTATACAGGTCAAATTGTAGTTACATGTAAGAGACATAATTTGTGAAACGACCTGTATAAAATTTGAAACTTTGTACATCACGAAAATGATTTTTAATCTTGAAACGAAGGTTTTAGATCTCAAGAATCAAGTAAAACATTTTGTAATTATTATGTAGAATTAACAAACTTTCGTTTCGGGGTAATTAGTTCCTCTTTCTGTTTTTTGAAATATTTTGAAGTATCAGAATTAGAATTTACATTTGAGATATCTTTATGTTATAAATAAATTTAGGTTAATATTTTCTAGTGAATACTTAATGTAACGAGGCAGTACGCCAAATAAAAGTATTAATTATGATTGTAAAAACTATTTTATATTTTCCCCAAAAATTATTAAAACCGCATCAATGTTTATATAATAAATTTATATAGCAAACTTAATAAAATATAAATAGTTGTATTCAGATATAATCAAATATATTTAAACTATAAAAGAATATAAATATGCTTGTTAAAATAAAGTGAGACAGGTTTCAGTATGTTTTGAACGAAACAATATATTAATAACACAGTACAAAATACAATATTTCAGTACCAAAAACATTTTAGACTTAGATTTACACGGAGAGTAACGCGTAATACTTAACAGCACAGAGTATGATTACTAATTTTTTAAATTTCACTTAATACAGAAATTTTTCAAAAATTCGCGGTTATTTGCAAATTTATTAACACGTTGATTACCACAATAAAAATAGAAATAAAAATGTAACTGTTAATAAAATATCTTACTGCTGATACAATTTCATTATTTTTGGTTACTTTATATTCATAATTTCTTGCAAATGTAAATAAAATTCCTTGTATATTCACTTTTTAAAGTGTTCGTTTCCGCCATTTTCTGTGGACGTCCAAGATGGCGTCCAAGATGGCGTCCAAGATGGCGTCCAAGTAGGCGTCGAACACTTTAGAAGAACTTTAAGGTTATGTCTTGAAATTCATAACTAAAATGATAACTAATCTGTTCACCTACTCTGTGCATAATTTTCTCACTAAATAACTATACAAAATATAATACTCGAGATATCTCAAACAAGGAAATTATTTTCTATTCAAACGTGCGTATACTGAGTCGTGTTTATAATTAAACGAGACATTTCCTTTTTGATCAAATAAATGCGTTTATTCTCGATCAGGGAACAATTCATCGAAAGTGAAATGCGTGCATATTTTGTTGGCCATGTTCAGAACTAACTCAGAGATTCCCTTTTCTAGGTTAGGTTTGGCAGCAGTCAATATCTCTTGATGGCTGTCACCTAGTGCTTGGCCGATTGCGTCTTGTAGAGATTGCTCGAAATTGTCGGCTTTGAATTTCACGTCGTAGTCCTTGATGTCCAAATCGATAGTCATTGAAGAGAAATATACGTATTTCTTTCCTCCACGTTCGGCGAATTTGAAGAAAAGCCTCACTTTTGCACCGGCGTCTTCTGTAAGTGAATGTTTCGTTTAGTTGATTGATAAAAATGAATAGAAACAATGGTTTTCATTGGTATTTAATTGTAAATGGGTCTATGTTAAGGTTAGGTTCAGGTTAAGGTTATGTTAGGTCTATTAGGTTAGGTAAACTTAAGATAGATTAAATTTATTCATAGGTTAGGTTAAATTAACAGATTTAATGTTAAGTTAGGTTCTTTTTATTACGACTCATGGGAGGTTAGGTTAGATTAACTGTACTCGTACATGGTTAGGTTATATTAACTCAACTTGTGATGGGTTAGGTTAGATTAACACAATTCATATAGTGTTAGGTTAGATTTACTTAACCAGTATATCAAATTGACTCGATTCCTACAAGGTTAGGTTAAATTAACAGATTTTATGTCGAGTTAGGTCTGTTTAATGTAGCTCATACAAGGTTAGGTTAGAATAACTGTATTCGTATATGGTTAGATTATATTAACTGAACTCATGATGAGTTAGGTTAGATTAATGCAACTAATATAAGGTTAGGTCAGATTAGTCCATCTCTTATAAGGTTAGTTGAAATTAACTCAATCCTTGATAGGTTAGGTTATATTAACTCAACTCATGATGTGTTATGTTAAATTAACACGATTCATACAATGTTAGGTTAGATTTACTGAACTGACATATGAAATTAACGTATAAGGTTAGTCTAAATTAACACAATTTATGTTCAGTTGGATTAGTTTAATGTAACTTATACAAGGTTAGGTCAGATTAACCTATCTCTTGTAAGGTTAGTTTAAGTTCACTTAATCCCTAATAGGTTAAGTTAGTTTAAATTAACTCAATGCCTGATAGGTTAGGTTAAATTTAGTCAACTATACAATGTCATGTAAAATTAATGTGTCTCATATAAGGTTAGGTTAGTTTAACTGAATTAATTGACGATGCTCTTGAATACTGACATACAGTATAAGTTCTTTAAATTATTAAAATACATGAACTCATAATTATGTTTCAGTTGTCACACACTTACTTGTCGTTAAAGTCAGAGGTCCTTTTCCATTGATTGGCACTAGGATCTTCGCATCGACGTTGTAAAGTGCATCGAGCTTAATGTTGTCGAAACGTACGTCAAGATCAATTTGTTGTTTCTTCAGGTCATAGTGCAGGTGATTCACGTGATACGTTAGTAATCCACTAATACTAATGTTCGTCGCCACTGCTTTGAAAGTCGGCTGATCTGTCAATTTCATTTCTGCAATTTTCAGCGGTTCCACCGGAGGAATATCCAAATCTGGGATTCCTTGACGAAGCTTCTCGCGCAGGGAACTCACACTATTTAGTATACAATCGTCCAGATTTGGATTTCTTAGGCCACATACCGTAATGTACGAAGCTGAAATTATAAATACAATAATTGTACCATTCCTTACATTTTTTCATTTCATTTTTGTGAATGAACCTTCCTTTTATTTTATTAGTCATAATAAATATTTCAAAAGAAACTTGCAGTGCTCTATTAATAAATAAATAATTTTGTTATGAACCAGTATCAAATTTTTATAAACACGCATACAGTAATTTCTTAAATGACTAAATTTGATAGAAGATTTTTTAATAAATTTTTGACAAAGTGATTCAAATTAGTAATACTGACAAATAATACAAATAATAAATATCTGTACATTTCTCACTAAAAATCAAATAAAAATAAAATTAAATTAACTTTCCTCAGATTGACATAAATTTTCTTGTCTTCCTAGATTCCATTTAATTTTACATTTTGCATTTCATACAGAAATTAAATCGAATCATTTTGAGATTTCCAAGTACACAAAATAAAGATTAACTTTAATTAATGAACAAAGCATTCAACAAAGTAGATGACACATGCTCTAAGTTCCCAGGACGATTAAAAGAAAATGGCTTCCTGTTTTGTGACTAAATTAGATACCTGTTCCCTTGAATTCTATGGAAACTCTCTTCCGCATTCAACCATTTTGATCATAAATATTTACACAATGCGGCAATCACAGTGCGGATAATGTCAGGATTAGAATTGTAATGAGATTTATCAGGTACAGGTTTTATTGTTTAACATAAACGGGAGAAAAAACGATAAACGTACTAGCAGTGTGTTAATTGTTGTTTGCGACTGATTGTGAGTTATATTGAACGATACATGATACAATTGCGGGTGTTGTTGATATAAATTTTAGAATTTGAAAATTGGGGTTTGGGAGGTGGAAATTTGGGAATTTAGGAGGTGGGCAGTTAGGAGATGGGCAGTTAGGTGTTGGGGAATTAGGAATTGGGAATTTAGGAGTTGGAGATTGGAGAATTGGGGAATGTGGGAATTGGGAAATGTGGGAATTGAGCAATGTGGAATTGGAGAATGTGGGAATTTGGGAATGTGGGAATTGGGAAATGTAGGAATTGGGAAGTGTGGGAATTGGGGAATGTAGGAATTGGGAAGTGATGGAATTGGGGAATGTAGGAATTGGGAAGTGATGGAATTGGGGAATGTAGGAATTGGGAAGTGATGGAATTGGGGAATGTAGGAATTGGGAAGTGATGGAATTGGGGAATGTAGGAATTGGGAAGTGATGGAATTGGGGAATGTAGGAATTGGGAAGTGATGGAATTGGGGAATGTAGGAATTGGGAAGTGATGGAATTGGGGAATGTAGGAATTGGGAAGTGATGGAATTGGGGAATGTAGGAATTGGGAAGTGATGGAATTGGGGAATGTAGGAATTGGGAAGTGATGGAATTGGGGAATGTAGGAATTGGGAAGTGATGGAATTGGGGAATGTAGGAATTGGGAAGTGATGGAATTGGGGAATGTAGGAATTGGGAAGTGATGGAATTGGGGAATGTAGGAATTGGGAAGTGATGGAATTGGGGAATGTAGGAATTGGGAAGTGATGGAATTGGGGAATGTAGGAATTGGGAAGTGATGGAATTGGGGAATGTAGGAATTGGGAAGTGATGGAATTGGGGAATGTAGGAATTGGGAAGTGATGGAATTGGGGAATGTAGGAATTGGGAAGTGATGGAATTGGGGAATGTAGGAATTGGGAAGTGATGGAATTGGGGAATGTAGGAATTGGGAAGTGATGGAATTGGGGAATGTAGGAATTGGGAAGTGATGGAATTGGGGAATGTAGGAATTGGGAAGTGATGGAATTGGGGAATGTAGGAATTGGGAAGTGATGGAATTGGGGAATGTAGGAATTGGGAAGTGATGGAATTGGGGAATGTAGGAATTGGGAAGTGATGGAATTGGGGAATGTTGGAATTGGGGAATGTAGGAATTAGGATCTGTAGGAATTGGGAAATGAGGGATTTTGGGAATGTTGGAATTGAGGAATGTGGAAATTGGGGAATGTAGGAATTGGGAAGTGATGGAATTGGGGAATGTGGGAATTGGGGAATATAGAAATTAGGGATGCAGTAATTAGAGATGTAGAAATCAGTAACGTACGTATTAGGGATTTAGGTGTCAGGTATTTAAGAATCAGGGATTTATCAATCAGGGACTTATCACGTCAATTAAAAATCAAAAATTCAAAAATCAAATATCTAAGAATAATACTACTATGAATCCCCAATTTAAGAACAGTCAAACCTTCCATAATTTACAATACCAAAAATATAAAAAGTCTCCCTCCAGCAATCAAAAATTAAATCCAAATAATCAATATCCAATCTCAAAACTTATAAATCACTAAAAAATCCGTAAACTGAAGAATCAACTTATTTTATCAACTTATTCTTGTTACTGTTTTCGCATTTATCTTGCACCTTTCTTCCCAAATTTCACTAAAATATCCAAAGAATTAATTTACTCACGAACTTCAGCAGCCGCAAAGCCCACAACAAAAGCGAATAACAATATCTGACAAGAGATCATTTTTCTTGTAACTAATCGCAGGAGAAGACAAATCGTTAATTCGCGTGAATGTGCAATGATCACAACTGATCGTCGTTCATTCGGCAAGCTCGTAATATAGCCTTCGAGGATGTCAATGTATTGCAATCGTATAATGATTCATCTAAGTCCACGGTCATGGCTGTATCCCTGTGAAACTTTTCCCCACCAAAGTATAATTTTCATCGTCGACGAAGAAAATTCCACGATAATGTAGCCAAACATTGATATGTTTATTAGCTCTTTTTGAAACGGAACCTGTTTCTCGGATAAACATATAGTATAGATCAATTTATATTATTTTTGTTGCACTTTGTGAATTCATATTGATATGATAGTTTAATAAAGATTTGGGACGCTGAAAAGTTTAGGGAAAATTTGGGGTTTTAATGGGAATTTCATTTTATTTCATGCAGAATTCTCAACTTCAAAAATTTCTTATTACAAATTTTCTAATTTCCAAATTTCTAATTCCAAATTTTCCAATTTTCCCAATTCCAAATTTTCCAATTTCAAATTTTCCAATTTTCCAATTTTCCCAATTCCAAATTTTCCAATTCCAAAATCACCAATTCCAAAATCCCCAATTCCAAATTTTCCAATTTCAAATTTTCCAGTTTCAAAATTTTCCAATTCCAAACTTTCCAATTTCCAAATTTCCCAATTGCAAATTTTCCAATTTCAAAAATTCCCAATTCCAAAATCCCCAGTTCCAAATTTTCCAATTTCTAAATTTGCCAATTACAAAATTCCCAGTTCCAAATTTTCCAATTTCCAAATTTCCCAATTGCAAATTTTCCAATTTCAAAAATTCCCAATTCCAAAATCTCCAATTCCAAATTTTCCAATTTCTAAATTTGCCAATTCCAAAATTCCCAATTCCAAATTTGCCAATTCCAAAATTCCCAATTCCAAATTTTCCAATTTCCAAATTTCCCAATCGCAAATTTTCCAATTTCAAAAATTCCCAATTCCAATTTCCAAATTTCCCAATTGCAAATTTTCCAATTTCAAAAATTCCCAATTCCAAATTTTCCAATTTCCAAATTTCCAAATTTTCCAATTTCCAAATTTGCCAATTCCAAATTTTCCAATTTCCTAATTCCCCAATTCCTAATTTCCCAATTCCTAATTCCCCAATTCCTAATTCCCCAATTCCTAATTCCCCAATTCCTAATTCCCCAATTCCTAATTTCCCAATTCCTCATTCCTCAACTCCTAATTCCCCATCTCCTAAATTCCCCAACTCCTCACTTCCCAATTTCAATTACGGATTAATATAAAATTACAGTTTTTTAATTTGGTTAATGAACTTCCAACAATTTGTTGTTCAAAGTGGTAATTTGTAGTTTAAATTTGTAAAATTTTTCATTGTTTCGTAGGTGTCTCAACGTCAGTTTTCAAAGAAATCTTTGTAAGCTGGACAAAATATTTGCTCGCTTGTTAACTGCTTGAATATACATTGTTCGTGCAATGTGAGACAGCGAGACAGTGTTTGAAGATGTAAAAGACTTTAGGTGAAGTATTTGATTGATTTTTGGAATCATTTACAATTAGTAATGTCGTCAGCGAGAAAATATGCAAATTTTATTCTTGAAATTAATTTTGGAGACGTTTGTAATTATGTATTATTAAAAAAATTTATATTTTTAAGATTCAGCATTGATGTGAAGATGAATGTCTTTATGAAATGTTAACAAATTTTCGTAGTTATTATATTTTTAATATTCCTGATTTCTAAATTCCTGTTTCACAACTGCCTGATTTCTAAATCCTTCATCGTTAAATCCCTCATTCTTAAATTCCTAAATTCCTTATTCCTAAATTCACAATTCTTAAATTCTCAATTTCAAAATACTCTACTTTAAAATTTGTAATTCCAAAATCGCCAATTCCTGAATCCTCAATTCCTAATTCCCCAATTCCCATATTCCCCAATTTCCACATTACCCAATTCCCACATTCCCTAATTCCCACATTCCCCAATTCCCACATTCGCCAATTCCCACATTCCCTAAATCCCACATTCCCCAATTCCCAAATTCCCTAATTCCCACATTCCCCAATTCCCACATTCCCCAATTCCCACATTCCCCAATTCCCAAATTCCCCAATTCAACATTCCCAAATTCCCACATTCCCTAATTCCCACATTCCCCAATTCCCACATTCCCCAATTCCCACATTCCCCAATTCCCAAATTCCCAACTCCTAAACTCCCAATTCCAAAAACCCCAATTCCAAAACCACCAATTCCCAAATCCCCAATTCCAAAATTCCCAATTCCAAAACCACCAATTCCAAAACCACCAATTCCCAAATCCCCAATTCCGAAACCCCCAATTCCAAATATCCCAATTCCAAAAACCCCAATTCCAAAATTTCCAATTCCAAGTTTCCCAATTCCCAAATCCCCAATTCCGAAACCCCCAATTCCCAAATCCCTGATTCCGATACTCCCTATTCCAAAATTTGCTTTTCCAAAATCCCTAATTCCAAAACCCCCAATTCCAAAATTTGCAATCCCAAAACCCCCAATTCCAAAATTCCCAATTCCAAAAACCCCAATTCCAAAATTTTCCAATTTGCGATACCCCAATTCCAAAATTTCCAATTCCAAATTTCCCAATTCCCAAATCCCGAATTCCGAAACCCCCAATTCCCAAATCCGTAATTCCGATACCCCCAATTCCAAAATCCCTAAATCCGAAACCCCCAATTCCAAAATTTGCAATCCCAAAACCCCCAATTCCAAAATTCCCAATTCCAAAAACCCCAATTCCAAAATTTTCCAATTTGCAAATCCTTTAATTTCAAAATCCCCAACACCAAATTTCCCAAATCTAAAATCCCCAATTCCAAATTCTCCAAACAAGAATATTATCAATAACACAAGAGGCCCGCTTTTTCCTCTTCTTGACGTAACAGGAATATTCACGAAGGACACGATTATTTTCGTATTATTTTCTGGTACTTTTTTTCGTGGATTATGCACTCATTCTCGACTTCCTTGCTGCCAGAGGACGGATGATCGTATTCGGTACACGTCATTCGGGATACAGGAATTGTTTTTTTGCAATTCAAACAATGGACGATCGATACAGACCGCCAACCGAGGCCAGATTTGTTTCGAAATTGTATTGTTAAATTCTGAATCTGATTGGAAATGAACTGGAACGAATGTGTTCCTGAGTTTGTTGATTAAATTTTCCGTTGAACAATCTTCAAGAGTAGATTGTGTGAAAAACAGAATATCTTCATATTTTATTGGTTATGCAAAATGATTGTTTACTGAAATTCTTTATTTATATATATAGTTCATTGAAAGCATTTAATAAAAAGTTTGACTTTGAGGAAAAAGAACGATTTATTGGAATTTGTTAAAATCTCTGAAATAATTTGATGGTTATTTACATAAAAGCTTTTCAAGGATTTTTGGTTTATTGTACTAATTTATATATTCTACAAACAACGTAATTTATTTTAGAAATACAAGAGAATAAATTTTAAATATTAAATTGGGTAGTTAGTTAATTATTTAGCCACTAAATTAGCAGTACATTAGAGAATTATTAGACTGTTAAATAGTTAAATTGAAATGTTGAATTGGTAGATTGGTAGATTGGTAGATTGGTGAATTGGTAAGTTTGTGAGTTGGTGAGTTGGTGAATTGGTGAGTTGGCGAATTGGTGAATTGGTGAATTGGTGAGTTGGCGAATTGGTGAATTGGTGAGTTGGTGAATTGGTGAATTGATAAATTGGTAAATTGGTAAATTAGTGAATTGGTGAATTGATAAATTGGTAAATTAGTGAATTGGTGAATTGGTGAATTGGTGAATTGGTGAATTGGTGAATTGGTGAGTTGGTAAATTGGTAAATTGGTGAATTGGTAGATTGATAAATTTTTAAATTGGTAAATTGGTAAATTGATAAATTGGTAAATTGGTAAATTGGTAAATTGGTAAATTGGTAAATTGGTAAATTGGTAAATTGGTAAATTGGTAAATTGGCAAATTGGTAAATTGGTAAATTGATAAATTGGTAAATTGATAAATTGATAAATTGGTAAATTGGTAAATTGCTAAATTGGTAAATAGCTAAATTGGTAAATAGCTAAATTGGTAAATAGCTAAATTGGTAAATTAGTAAATAGCTAAATTCGCAAATTGTCAAATTGACAAATTGTTACATAGTTAAATTGTTAAAATTCTTAAAATTCTTAAAATTCCTAAAATTCCTAAAATTCCTAAAATTCTTAAAATTCTTAAAATTCTTAAAATTCCCTAAATTCTTAAAATTCTCAAAAGTCTTAAAATTCTCAAACTTCTCAAAATTCCAAAATTCTCAAAATTCTCAAAATTCCCAAAATTCTCAAACTTCTTAAAATTCTTAAATTCTTAAAAATAAAATAAACAAACAATTAATAAAAAAAAATAACTATCACAATCATAATATTATCTAAAACCGGCAAAGAACATTAAAAATTAGTTACCATAAATGAACACCTAAATACAAAATAACTTAACTTAATTAATTAACTACTTGCCCTTATTGTAGATTAATTCTAACCCACCATTTTGCGAACAAACATTCCTAGAAATTAATCCTCTTGCAGCTTGCATTTTCATCATAAAAAATAGTTTCTGCATAATTTACATTCTAATTGATGGAGATATATAGTCGCGATAATATCGACCTCCAGGTTACACAGTTTATTCCTATTCTTTTTTGCACGAATGACGTCGTCGAACATTAATAGAAAAAGAGATATTGATACATAATTAGTCGCATAAAACTGAATCTGATGTCTTTCAAGGTTATTGTAGTTGGCTGGCGAAGGAAATAATTATACGCATTATACTCTTGGAAAATTTTATATTGTTTTTTACAAAACAACAATTAAGAATTTTCATTCTTATTGTATGGAAAATTAAATGATTTCTAGATTCATTCGTTAAAAAGAATTTTTAATCAAGTTTTGAATGATCGCTACAATTTTTAGCAGCGTGAGAGTTTGTTAGAATAAATTTGAATAATAAATATATTAAATGATTTGAAATTGATTCTTGAAA